CTTGAAAGTAACTCTTGACAGTACCTGGAGAGAGTTTCAGCAGTTCATCTGCTGTTAGGGTTCTAGAACTGGTTCCTTTACATTCTAGTTGTCCTTTCAAACCGCAGCTTTTTTTCTGTACCCTAGGGCAGACGAATCTGCTCACAGTCCCTCAGTACTATCCCTCCACACAGCAGTTCGCAGTGTTGTGGATGGGGGTTCTCTTTGTGTCTTCCTCTTTCTTGCCATTCTCTATGTGGTCTTTGTTGTGCAGAAGCTGTTCCAGTTAGCTCTTAGTTCTTCTTCAGGATCAGTGCTCTGTGAATAGATGTAGATTTGGTGTGTCCATGGAGGTGGTAAGTTCAATGTCTTCCTGCATCTTGCCATCTTAGACCATTCTCCATTGAATTCCTTTTGAATCTTTGTTGAAAATTAATTAAGCCATGTATATATATATGTCCCTTCATGGTATTTATCTTCTCTTCCATTGACGTATATATCTATCCTTATGCCACTACTACCCTATCTTGATTATTATAGTTTTATAGTAATGTCTTGAAAGCAGGTAGTGGTCATTTCTTTAACGTTTCATTACTCAAAACTGTTTTGGTTATTTTAGGGTCCTTGAATTTTCATTTAAGTTTAGAATCTGCCTCTTAGTTTTTACAAAAAGCCTTCTGGAAGTTTTATTGGGGTTGTATTTAATCTGTAGATAAATTCTATAAGAGTTGACATTTTATCAAAATTGAGTCTTCCGATAAGTGAACATGATATCTCTACATTTACTTAGTTCTTTATTTTCTCTTAATGATATTTTGTAGTTTCCCTGTCCATGTGTTGGACATATTTTTCTAAATTTATCTGTAGTATTTCATGGTTTTGGTGCTATTGTAAATACCATTTAAAAAATTCAGATTTCTAATTTTAATTTTATATAGGAATATAGTTGATTTTTATGTATTCATTTTTAATCTTGTGATCTTATTAAATTAACTGGTTAGGCCTAGTAGCTTAATTTTGTAGGTCATGTGGGATTTTCCATCTACACAATTATCTGCACATATAACAGCTGTTTTACTTTCATGTGTGTGCTCTGTAAATTTTCTTCTTCCTTACTGCACTAACTAGATGTTCTAGAACAATGTTGAATAAAAGTAATGACAGACACCTTGCTTTTTGCCCCATCTTAGGGGAAGTAGCTGGTCTTTCACCGTTACATATGCTGTCAGTCATAGGTTGTTTAAAGTGTTACTTGTGTGGTTTTGTTTTTTAAGTCATGAGTTGTTGATTTTTGTCAGATGGCTATTCCACATCTCTTGAGATATTTATGTGGCTTTTCCTCTCTTCTGTAAGATGAACTAATGTTGATATTTTGAGGGGACTTTACTAACTTTTTATTATTAAGACTTTATTTTTTTTTCTTTTTTAGAGCCATTTAAGATTTACAGCAATGTTGAAGGGAAGGTACAGAGATTTCCCACTACCCCTGCCTCCCCCAGGCACAGTCTCCCCCATTATCAGCACCTTCCCTCTCACATCAGAGTGATAGATTTGTTATAATTGATGAACTTAGATTGACTTACCATCACCCAGAGTCCATGGTTTACTTCTTGGTGTTGTACATTCTGTGGGTTTGGACAAATGTATAATGACATATATCCATCATTTTGGTATCATAGAGTATTTTTACTGCCTTGAAAATCTTTCTGCTCTGCTTGTTTGTTCCCCCACCTCCCAATCCCTAGCAAAAAAGTCCCGGATCTTTTTACTGTCTGTATAGTTTTGCCTTTTCCAGAGTGTCATATATAGTTGGTATTGTACAGTATTCTACAGTAAGCTTTATCAGGTCACCTTCTTTTACTTAAAAATAGGAATTAAAGTTTCCTCCATCTGTTTTCATGGTTTAATGGCTCATTTTTTACTTTTAGCTCATTATTCATTTTGTTTAATAACTCCATTGTCTGGATGCACTAGAGTTTATTCATTCATCCATTAAAGGGCGTCTTGATTGCTTGCAAGTTTGGCAGTTATGAATGAAGCTGCTGTAAACCTCCCTGTGCAGGTTTGTGTGTGGACATATGTCTTTACCTCCTCTGGGTGAATACCAACGAGTGTGATGGTGGATTATATGGTAATAGTGTTTAGTTTTGGAAGAAACTGCCAGACTCTTCTCAAGTGGTTTTAAGTTTGCAGTCCCACCAGCAGTGATTGAGAATTCCTGTTGCTCTACATCTTGACCAGCATTTGGTATTCTGTTTTGGATTTTGGCCATTCTAATAGGTATGAGGTAGTATTTCATTGTTTTAATTTGTGTTTCCTTAAGATGTTCTATAAGAAGTGGAACATCTTTTCATGTGCTTATTTGCCATTTCTGAGGTGTCAAATTCATTGGCCCTTTTTTAAATTGGATTGTTTTATTTTTTAAGAGTCCTTAATATGTTTTGGATACAACTTCTTTTTTTTTTTTTAAAGATTTTATTTATTTATTTGAGACAGAGAGAATGAGAGGGAGGAGGGTCAGAGGGAGAAGCAGACTCCCTGCAGAGCAGGGAGCCCGATGCGGGACTCGATCCCGGGACTCCAGGATCATGACCTGAGCCGAAGGCAGTCGCTTAACCAACTGAGTCACCCAGGTGCCCCTACAACTTCTTTATCAGATGTCTTTTGCACATGTTTTCTCCTAGTCTGGCTTCTTATTTTACTCTCTAGACTCACTCTTTATTTCATAGAGGTTCTTAATTTTAATGAAGTTCAGCTTATTGGATTCTTTCTTCCATAGATCATGCCTTTGGTGTGGTATCTAAACAGTCCTCACCACAGCCAAGGTCATCACATTTTCTCTTCTTCTAGGAGTTTGAGTTTTGTATGTTACATTTAGGTCTGTGATTATTCTGAGTTAATTTTTGTAACATGGAGGGCCTGTGTTATGTCTAGATTCAGTTTTTTTTTTTTGCGTGTGGATGTCCAGTTGTTCCAGCACCATTTGTTGATTACTGTTGAATTTTTAAATGTTAAACCAACCTTGTATTACTAGAATAAACCCTACTTGATCATGATGTATTTTCTCTTTCATATATTGCCAGATTTGATTTGATAAGTTTTTGTTGATGATTTTTGTGTCTGTATTCATGAGTGATTTTGCTATATAGTTTTCCTTTCCTGTAACGTCTTTTGTCTAGTTTAGTTATCAGAGTAATGTTGCCTTGTAAGATGAAGTAAGAAGTGTATCCTCCTTTATTTTCTGAAAGAGTTTGTATAGAAATGATAGAATTTCTTTTAAGTGTTTATGGTAGAATTCACCAGGAAGCCCCATCTGCATAGAATCTCTTTTAAACAGGTACAGGTTATTTTGGTTTTTTACTTTAATTTGTATAGAAATTTGTGTTTCAGAGAACCAGCTCTTTGTTTTATTGATATTCTCTACTGTTTGTCTGTTTTATATCTCATTGATATCCAGTGTTAATTTCATCATTTCCTTCTTCTTTGGTTTTCATGTCTACTTTTTCTAAGTTACGGTGGAATTTTAGATTATTGATTTCAGATATTTTTTCTTGTCTAATAGAAGTATTTAAGGGTATGTTTAGCACACTGTTAAAAGCACTGCTTAGAGGCGCCTGGGTAGCTCAGTCGGTTAAGTATCTGACTCGATTTCCGCTCAGGTTGTGCTCTCAGGGTTGTTGGATTGAGGCCTGAGTCTGGCTCTGTGCTCAGCGCAGTCTTCTTGTCCCTTTCCCTCTGCTCCACTTGTGCTCACTCACTATCTCTAGAATAAATAAAATCTTAAAAAAAAAAAAAAAAGCACTGCTTAGGTATGTTGTGCTTTTAATATCATTAAGGTCAAATTATTTTCTGAATATTTTTACTTGATATAGAATTAGAGGTTTAAAAAATATTTTTTTCCTTCATCATCATTGCTTTATGGCTTTTATCTTTAGTTATCCTTTGTTTCCCTGTGTGAACGTGTCTTCCTTTTTCTTTGCTTTTAAGAACTTTTAAGCATTCATCATTGAGATTATGTAATAGTTTGTTTATCCTACTTTAGTTTGATTTTCTTAGATCTTTGAATTTATATATTCATCAATTTAAAAAATTTTAAAAATTCAGATACTTTTTGTAAGTGAGTAAGGTTTTCTTTCATGCTTTTTTTGTATGCTTCCCTTGGGATAGTTTTTACTACTACATCTTCAAGGCTTTCAGTCTTTTCTTTTGTAATATATAATTTGCTGTTAAGCTTATCCAGTGAATTTTTTTTCATATTCTGTGGTTTTTTTTAGTTCTACTACAGGTTACATATTTTTCCTATAAAGTCACACATATTTATAATAACTATTTTAAGGACCTCATATGCTAATTATAACATCTTTGTCATTTCTGGGTCTATTTCTACTAACTAATTTTTCTCCTTTGTAGCATTCAGATTCGGGCAGCCTCTTTATATTGTAGCCCTAGACTGAGGAAACAGATTTTGCTTGTTTGTTTTTACTATTAAATAGTTTTTCCTCCCTATACCCATTTATCACACTTTTGAAAAGTGAAGGAAAATACATGACTTATTTAACTGAGTAAATCTAATTTGAGCAATAAAACAATTAAAATGGGCTGTTCTCTGAGATAGGATGTAATTTTTATTTTCTATTTTTTTGGTGTATAATTTTCCTGGTGATGATACTTGCTGTAATTCTTATTTCTGACTACTAAACAGAACCATTTTGGAATCCCAACAAAATACAGTAATAGTCCTAAGATAATTCTAAGATCTCATCTTTTGCAAACAAATGGCAGCCTTTCCTGAACTGGTTTGGAGGCTGATGGGCAGCATGTTACCTCAGAAGTTTCTAATTTAAGAGGGGATGCAGTTAGGCGGGTTATACAAGCTTTTTGGTATAATAAAATATTTGAGTAATTCACTCTCCTGAATGTATATAATAGACATTAGGAACTTTTAGGAGTTTTAACTTTAATTAATTCCTGAGTGTTCTGAATGTTTTAAAGATGTTTCTTAACGAAAAATTTTTGTCTAGATTGATAGGTTGTATGATTGGAAAAAGAGCCCCGATTCTGATGTGGCTGCTACTTTAAAGAAGCAAAAAAAGAATACAAAAGATGAATTTGAGGAGCGAGCAAAGGCTATTATTGTGGAATTTGCACAGCAGGTAAGAAAACTTTACCATGAAGAGCCTATGTCATAGAATATTTTTTCTTTTTGTTCTGTTGTCCTTATAATAAAGCCAGCAGTTTCACTAATGCTGGTTCTGTTCCCTTATCAATGGCATGTAGTGTTCTCCATTCTTTTCCCTTATCCCTTTTTTCTTTTTAAATTAGATAGTATTTCAAAGATCTGTCTTTGTAGTCTGAATGTTTAAATTTTACTTTTTTTTTTTTTTAAGATTTTATTTATTTATTTGACAGAGACAGAGACAGCGAGAGCAGGAACACAAGCAGGGGGAGTGGGAGAGGGAGAAGCAGGCTTCCCGCTGAGCAGGCAGCCCGATGCGGGGCTCGATCCTAGGACCCTGGGATCATGACCTGAGCCGAAGGCAGCCGCTTAACGACTGAGCCACCCAGGTGCCCTGAATGTTTAAATTTTAAAAATAAATTTGACTTGGAGGGGCACCTGGGTAGCTCAGTTGGTTAAGCGTCTGACTCTTGATTTCCGCTCAAGTCATGATCTCAGAGTTGTGAGATCGAGCCTTGTGTCAGGCTCTGTGCTCAGTGGGGAGTCTGCTTGAGGTTCTCTCTCTTCCTCTGCCCCTTCCCCCTAAAATAAATAAACTAAAAAAAAAGTTGACTTGGAAAGAAACTACTTTTCTGTGATACAACTAATACCTACAGGATATTCATGATCTCTTGAGTGTTTTTGAGGAGTTTCACAAAGAGGAGCCATTTGCTTATCTGTCGTCTTATCAGTCGTGCTGTCCTGGGTACTTCCTTCCACAGCTTGGCCTTTTGGAATGATTTTGCTTTTTATGTCTCTAGGGTTTGAATGCAGCTTTGTTTTATGAGAATAAGGATCCCCGTACTTTTGTGTCCTTGGTACCTACCTCTGCACATACTGGTGATGGCATGGGAAGTCTGATCTACCTTCTTGTTGAGTTAACTCAGACTATGTTGAGCAAGAGACTTGCACACTGTGAGGAGCTAAGAGCACAGGTTATGGAGGTGAGGATCAGCTTTTGAGTTTATTTTCCCTTTGCCTTTAACAGTGAGTTCTGGGCTGGGGGCTGTCTCCTGCTATAGTGTAGTCTCTCTCTCACTCCCTTTATACTATGTCTCTCAGGTTAAGGCTCTCCCAGGAATGGGCACCACTATAGATGTGATACTGATCAATGGGCGTTTGAAGGAAGGAGATACAATTATTGTTCCTGGAGTAGAGGGGCCCATTGTAACTCAGATTCGAGGCCTCCTATTACCTCCTCCAATGAAGGAATTACGGGTGAAGGTAAGCCTAGGTGGTAAGTGTTGACACATGGGGACATGTACAGTGTGTATGAGTTCTGTTGAGGTCACTTCTTCACTTCACAGCTGCTTGGCTTAATAGGCCCTTGCTCCTCAGCCTCTATTAGATGTCTTCATAAAGGGATCATCTGTCAGAATGGACAAGTGTCAAGTTCTTCTTATCTAAGCTTTCCATGAGAACTGAAGTATATTGTTTTGGTTCTAAACTGCCAACTAGTTTTTTATTCACATTTTTTTATTATGAAATAAAACAAATACAGAAAACTAGACAAAACATAGAGGAAGAGTTGAACAAATTTTTAGGAAGCAGACAAACAGATGAAGAATAGAACATTGTTGACACCCCAGAAGCCTGTGTGCCTCTCACGGATGTTAGCACCCCCCCACACCTTCCTAAAAGTTAACCGTGCTTCCATGTTTATGAGAGTAACTGATATCCTTTGTTAAAAATGGTTTTAATACCTGAGTGTGTGCCCCTAAAAAATATGTATGGACTTCATAAAGTAGAGTCGTTCTCATTTCCATTGTATCTGGCTTCTTTTAACTCAAAAAAAAAAAAAGACTTTTAAGATTTACCCATGTTGTTTCATATAGCTGTAGTTCATTTTTGTTGTGTGGTATTCTCCATGAATATATCATGGTTTATTTATCTGTTCTCCTGTTGATGGCACATGTAGGGTATCTCTAGCTTTTAAATTTTTGCTATTAACAACAGTGTTGTTGCTTTGAACACTCTTGGTGCAGTTGTGCAAGTTTCTGCAGGGTATGTGCCTAGGAGTGAACTGCTAAGTCCTCAGCTTGTGCTCAGCTCCAGTTTTACTGGATAAGGCCACACTGTTGTTCACAGTGAGTCCAACAAGTTACACTTTCAACTGCAGTGTATTAGGGTTGCACAACTGTCAGCTCTTTGATGCGGTCAGATTTTAAAATTTTTCCATCTGGTAGCTCATTGCTTCATTTGGTACTTACCTGATTGAAATATGGTTGGCCATTATTTTGTATGTTTATTAGCCATTTAAGTTCACTCCTTCATGCAATGTCCCCGTGGTCCAGCGTTGTCTGTCTTTATAGTCACGGGAGTGGTCTGTATAGTTGGGAGACTAGACTGTTAGTGGCTTGTATGCATCGCAGCATCTTCTGGTCTTTTTACCTTTTCTATGGTGTCTTAAGAAACAGAAGTGTTTAATTTTAATGTTGAATTTACCAATCTTTTGTGTTTATTGCTTTTTGTGGCTAGTTTAAGAAACATTTTCCTACCCCATGGTCATGAAAATATGGTCTCTTACATCATCTCCTGCTCCTAACCACTTTTCAGATAAATGTGGTAGCAAATGTTTTGATCTCTACAGAACCAGTATGAAAAGCATAAAGAAGTAGAAGCAGCTCAGGGAGTAAAGATTCTTGGAAAAGACCTAGAGAAGACATTGGCTGGTTTACCCCTCCTGGTGGCGTATAAAGAAGATGAAATCCCAGTTCTTAAAGTAAGTTACTTAAATTTTTTTTTTCCTCCGAAGCTGTGTGAGTCTGACACACCAGCAGGGCACATGTTGGTAGTGATGAGTGAAGCGGGCACCACTGTCTTTGTGAAGCCTTACCTGGTAGCTCATAGCAAACAGTTGATGCATTTAGATTACTTCAGTTTGCACAGTCCTCTGAATTAGCATAAGTAATATTTATATACGCTAGAATTCTAAAATACACATTTTATTTAAAGAAAAAACGAATCAAAAGCCCAGAATTTGTTGTTCATGTTTTTAGGTATCCGAATATGCCGACAGAACTCAAGAAAATTTTACAAGGAAGTAGGAGTTGTTTTAAAGCTTGTGTGCCTGTCTGTAGGAGCAGATGCCCACTGGAGTCCAGCATAGTTTCCCAAAAGCAAACTTTGAGTTTATATACTCACTTGCCGAAGAGAAGATGACACTCCCCCGAGCACATTGGCTCATCTCATATGCTGGGACTCCTGTTACTCCTCGAGACGGCACCAGGTCACCACCATCAGGGAGTTGGCCACCTGAGGGGAGGGCCAGTAAGGAGAGGGCAGGCATCCCTCTTTGGTCAGGCCCAACTATGGCAGGGACTGCTGCAGCCTCCATGGCTTGGACACGGCTGTCCTACTTCTTCCTGGGGGAAATCTCTTCATCTCTGAAGGAGCAGTGACAGTTTTGAAAAGGACGCCGAGGTTAGGGCATTTCAGTGAAGGCAGTCAAGCAGAGCCCGTGGGCTACCGTAACACATTACACTGATGTAGTCCTTTTAATTTTGAGAAGATTCTTCTCGTTTCATTCTGTTCACCCAGCTACCTTATTTGCCAAGTACAGCAGAGGTTAAATAGATTTCCGTATTAGTAAACCTAAGACAAAGGTGAAGTGTGGGACACAGCTCAGATTCGGCTCCTAAATCTCCTCCTCCTTTCCAGCACAGGTTCTGCTACACCTTACGTTTTCTTAGCCTTGGTTTCATATTTTCATGTGAATACTTCATTAAAAAGAGAAACACAGTTTAATTCTAGGCCATTGCTGGTTTACAACCTTGTCACATTTAACTTCTTTTCAAGGATGAGTTGATCCATGAGTTAAAGCAGACACTAAATGCTATCAAGTTGGAAGAAAAAGGAGTCTATGTCCAGGCATCTACACTGGGATCTTTGGAAGCTCTACTTGAATTTCTAAAAACATCAGAAGTGCCCGTAAGTAATCCTACCCGACTCCACAGGAGTCTGTGATAGTCATGGTTTGTAGTGCTGTTTCTTTTCCCGGACACAGGCATTTAAGCTCAGAAACTCCCTTTCTACAGTATGCAGGAATTAACATTGGTCCAGTCCATAAAAAAGATGTTATGAAGGCTTCGGTGATGCTGGAACATGATCCCCAGTAAGTGATTTTTCTTCTGCTGTGAAGGCTTTTTCATATTACCTGTTTTCTTCAGACTCCATGACACACTCTGTGTTTCTCCGAATGATCTTTATTGTGTTTGAACCTTTCAGGTATGCAGTAATTTTGGCCTTTGATGTGAGAATTGAACGGGATGCACAAGAAATGGCTGATAGTTTAGGAGTTAGAATTTTTAGTGCAGAGATTATTTATCATTTATTTGATGCCTTTACGAAATATAGACAAGACTACAAGAAACAGAAACAAGAAGAATTTAAGTAAGTTGGTCATTTTACTTACTTTGGGTCTTTGGTCATGAAGTTGGTTGAGAATTACCAAGTACGAGTTTCTCCCGCTATCCTGAAAGTAAAGCGTTTCTGTGAAACCTTCCATGAGGCGAAATGGCATAGCGTGAAGAAGCAATTACCATTAATTTATATGGAAAATTTTCTGAGCACTCCCGGGCCCAAACAATAAACAAAATAAATCGAAGTGAAGCCCAGATGCTCACAGACACGGCTCCCAGCTCTGGCGGCGTGACGCTGAGATGCTGAGTGTGGTCCCTGGGAAGAAGCTTGGCGCAGCCGCTCTGTTTGGGGTGCCCGCTGCCTCTTAATGGCTCACTGCAAAACAAATGCTAAACGTTTTTGCTTTTTGCCTTTTTTCGTAAGAGCAAAATCCTCCTCTTTTGGTGAGGGAAAGCAGGTACTAACATAGGTCTGTTGCAAAAGCAAGGTGGCATCAGGCGAACTTTGGCCATGTGGGGGAATACCTATACCAGAAAGGTTTGTGGCCGATAGAAGCAGCATGGCATTTGCTCATCCAGAAGAGGCTGCATCCTGAAATAATGTATTAAAAACCATAAATTCTGCCCATCTGAGGCATTCCAGCAGTGTGTTAACTAATCCTCTGTAGCCTTGCAGTTTTTAATTTTCAAATTGGTGGGCCTGGGTCTCATTAATTGGTGAGTAGTCGCTAAAACCCTCTTGCTGGAGTTTCTTATCTGGGATTACCTGGGAAGGAAGGATCAGAATGCGAATGTGTACAGTGAGGAACTGCAATGAGGCGAGGTATTCCATGGGAGGAGAGCCTGCCCCGTGTAGGTGGCATCGCTGCGCGTGCTAGACGAGTCAGCAGTGACCCTGGCCAGGTCCCTCCTCCTCTTGCAGCTCAGGCGAGACAAGCAGTGAACACATGAGAAGTAGGGTAAGGGCTGCAGGGCAGAGCAGGGAAGGCCTAAGTCAGGAGGAGAGCCATGACCAGCAGTGTGGTCCGGGGCAGCAGCTCAGCTCTGTCGGTCTCCCATTCAAGTAGAGATCTGGAGGGCATGGGGTGAGCCGCCCAGACCCACGGGGAGTTGTCCAGGCAGAAGGGCAGCACTGGGAGGCAGCCGCGTTGAATCTGACAGAGAGCCGTAGGAGATGGGGTCAGAGAAGTTGGTGGGACTCTAGGCCCTGGGGAGGATCTGAGGGAGGCAGCGGGGAGTCTTGTCAGGCTCCCAGTGTTCAGGCAAGACATGAGGGTGGCTCAGACCATAGGGAGTGATGGCTCAAATTGGGGTACGTATTTAAAGGAGAATTGCCAGATGAGTGTTAGGATTTAGACTGGGATACGCTCGCTTGAAATCATGAGACCAGAAGTGAAAAGACATGGTTAAAGCAGACTGACAGACCCTGTGAAAACACTTAAGCATGTGCTTGCTAAGCAGAGAAGTAGTGGCCTTTTGGATCACCTGATTCGGGAACGTGGTATGGAGAAGGTGGCTGTGGTTTGATGCCTGTGTGGGTCTCAGAGCAGGCTGCCCGTGGGGCCCGTCGAGGTTCTAAGCTCCATCTAAATTTAGGGGCAGGGCTCAGTGCTCCTGTGATACGGCTTCTTTAAGACTTGGGAAGTGACAGCAGGGATGGAGGGAGGGGAGGAGGATGGCGAGGGGTGGAGCACTCCATGCGGGTGGCCTGGACGGGTGCAGACACACTGAGGGCTGTCTGCAGCATGCGCCCTGCTCTGCCGGCACCGCCTGGGGAGTGCTGCTATTCTCCAACGGGAAGCCTCATACTCACTTGTGTTTGGGGTTTTTTACGTTTAAGTGGTTTTGTCAGCTTCACAATTTGGGGGTTTTCTTTTTTCCTTTTAGGCACATAGCAGTATTTCCCTGCAAGATGAAAATCCTCCCCCAGTATATTTTTAATTCTCGAGACCCAATAGTGATGGGAGTGACTGTGGAAGCAGGTCAGGTGAAACAGGGGACACCCATGTGCGTCCCTAGCAAAAATGTAAGTTTTGGTTGTACTTTCAAAACTTAAGTGTGGTCTCTTAAAGGGATAAAATGGGGAGTCCAGGAGTGGTGACGAAAGGCAGAGCTTGTCACCTTCTGTGATTTATACCTCAGTAAGGAGTGCCAGTGTTGATTCTTAGCACCAGCGATCAGTGCTTCAGCAAATGAAAGGTGCAAGGTACTTTGAAATAGTGCCCTTTTAAGATGTTTTGAAGTTTCAAGCCTGGGGAGAAGTTTAAAAAATAGAATAATGAACACCCATATTCCTTTCCTCGAGATTAGCATCTGCCTAAGAAAAATTAACATTAACTCAGTAATGTCCTGTAATTTACAGTTCTCACATTTCCCCAACTGTCCCAAGTGTCTTGCAGAGTGCCATCTGCTGACCTGGTCCAGGATTCCTTCAAGGTGCATTGCGTTTGGTGGTTACAGGTTTTAGTCTCAATAGGCCCAGCCCCCCATCCTTTCTGGAGAGTCCAGTTGTTTTGCAGGTTATTTCTCAACTTGGATTGGTCTGATTGTTTCCTCCTCGCCAGGTGGAAGTTACAGTTGCTGAAACAGATACTGCATGCACAGGTGTTCCCACCTGCCTCCAGCCCCATCACATAGGCTTTCTTACTGTAGCGAGGCCATCTTCGTTTCCTGGGGCAGGTGCTGTTGGCTCAGCATCGCTCTTAGAAACACAGCTTTCTCCCTCCTTTATAATTACTGTCGTGTCTGGGGCACTTTTGAGTACCTGTAAATATCATGTTTCAACAACCTTTATCTTGGTAGATTTAGTAACTGGTAATCCTTGCTGAAGGCAGTTACACAAATGTTGGTAACATTGTGATCTGCCCCTCCCCCCCATACTTTTGTAAAGAACCTTCCTCCCCACTGAACTTTTCATTAAGTAATTTATACACACTCCCTTTTTAAAAAATTTGATGTTCTAATCCATTACCAGTATCCATTCTGGTCAGTGGGAGCCCATTCGAGCTGGTTACTTCAGCACTTGAGCATTTTCTTCCTTTCTGGTGCAGGAAGATGCTCCAGGCTCATCTAGTACTTTCCCTGCCCCAGACCTGGTTCCTTTAGTGGGAAATGGCGCACTAGGACTTGTTGCTTCTAGGGGTCATTGCTTTTACACCGTTTCAGTGGACTGAGGTGGGACATTTACTTGCAGCAGTTATGTCCTGTGTGGCTTTGGCCACACCAAGCACTCCTCTCATTTTCACTCTTACTCTCCCGTATCTCTTGACAAGGCAGGCAGTGGAGTGCTTTTCTCCTGCACTGTAACTGAGCTCAGCTTGCTCCCAGCGCTCATCCTCTGACCTTGGCCTACAGGGCCCCACATCATGTGTCCCTGACTTAAACCCCTTGCTCATCATTCTGACCACTCCAAGGTCATTTCTCATTGAGAAGGTTTGTGCCTGCCACGCCCTCCTCCTATGGCACGTGTCGTGTGAAAGGATAGAGCAGAAGTAGTAAGGCACGCTGGGTTGACAGGGCACTTTGCAAGCTGTCGAAAGCATATGAGTCCTCTTGCTTCACAAGCCATCTTGTGATGGGCAGAGGGGATGTGGTGGTGTCATTCCCTGGCTTCCCAATGAGGAAGTCACACACAGTGTGATGAGTGCTAAAGAAGGGTCACAGAGCCAAGGCGCTTAAACTGGCTTGTTGGCTCGTTTTTATTTCCGCTGTCCAGCTGCAGTGCCTCTGACTGGCAGGATTCCTCTGCTTACATTGCAGTTCTTATTTTACAGTTTGTTGACATTGGAATAGTCACAAGTATTGAAATAAACCATAAACAAGTGGATGTTGCAAAAAAAGGACAAGAAGTCTGTGTCAAAATAGAACCTATCCCTGGGGAATCTCCCAAAATGTATGGAAGACATTTTGAAGCTACAGACATTCTTGTCAGTAAGGTAAGTGTCTCCTAAAAGTGGCTCATTTTAAGGAAGAGGGGGCGACTCTTCTCTGGTTACCTTTACGAAGTAGCTCTGAGGGCTGGAAGTTTGAACTTTTACAGTCTGAGAGGACTGGATTCTTCCTCAGGGCAGGTCTGTGATGTGGCCTTGTCTTTGTTGAGGAAGGGGCCTCCTCCCAGAGAGTGCCCGCCAGGACTTGCAGAGAGTCTGCTACTCTAAAAGGCAGACGAGCACTGTATTGTACTTTGGCTAAGGTTTCTTTTTAATGAGCAGTAGCCGATGACAGGCATGGGCCACACTGCTTTTTTTGGACATGTGGTTGTTACACTGTTGCTGACCCTGTTTGTGCCTTGGGCTTGCAGATCAGCCGGCAGTCCATTGATGCCCTCAAAGACTGGTTCAGAGATGAGATGCAGAAGAGTGATTGGCAGCTTATTGTGGAGCTGAAGAAAGTATTTGAAATCATCTAATTTTTCCACATGGGGCAGGAATTGGAATAAATGCAATATTATGTTCTAAAATCACCAGGAAAAACCAGACAAAAATGGAACGGATGTATCTGGACACTGATGAACTTAAGTATGGAAGGAAAAAAATAGGTCTATAAAATGTTTTCCATGAGAAACCAAGAAACTTACACTGGTTTGACAGTGGTCGATTACATGTCCCCACAGTTGTTCCAACGTGCCTGTTCACCTGCCCCCCCCCCACCCTTCTCTACTGGCTGCTGTTTTAAAGTTTGCCCTAACCCAAATTTGGATTTTTATTACAGATCTAAAGCTCTTTCGATTTTATACTGATTAAATCAGTACTGCAGTATTTGATTAACCAAGTTTCTGCAGATTTTGTGATTCTTGGGACTTGTTTGATGTAAGAAATACTTCTTTATTTATGCATATCCCTTCCCACAGTGATTTTTTTTTCCCCCCAGCATTCTTCTGCCATGTGCCCTTAGGAATTTTTTAAAATAGAAAATTAGGCACTCTGATCTCTGCTTTGTGTGAAACCATGGTGTAAAGCATAGCTGGCTGCTATTTACTGCTTGTATAGTCCTGGGAGTCCACTGTAACCAGCACAATTCTGAACTACCAATAAAGAAAAGAGACATCCATCAGTGAGCTCTGCTAGGCTTCCCTGCTAGCGTAGCTTCTCTCCATGAGTCATCAGCTTTGGTGTAATACCTCATGTGCCAGCACACGTTAGCATTAGAATTTCTGTACGTTGATCTTGGTCTAGTTTGTCCCAGCAAAGTCCCATCATGCATATGTTTCCTGCTGGGGCAATCAGTAGGGAGCTGATAAGACTGTTTGGGCTTGGTGCTCTGAAGTTGTTGCAGAGACGTGGATTTTAGCTAGTTTTCCCGAAGAAGGTGGGAAGTCCACATGACAATATCTTTTCCCCACTGTAAGACATCTGTTACTGTGGGATGAATTCTGGTAACAGATCTCTAGTATCAGACTACCTATTCATATTTATAGCACAGTGTTGAAGGCAATGTGAAGTGGTTGAAGAAAATGTCCCCAAGTATTCACTGGCATAGGATTACAAATATATATTTTTTCAAGTATTATGGTATAGCCTAGCCTAGAAAACACTTCATATACATTTGAGAATCTGTACCATTCTTCATTACTACTGAAGTTTCTCAAGGGACAGTAGAGGCAGAGACAATAACGCTAAGCCAGCTGTGGGATGTAATTATTTTCCCAGGAAAAAAATTGTGTGTTCTAATTTAAAACAAGTAAAGAAGACTTTCTTAACATGCTGCTGTGTTCATGCTTGGGGACAAGAGTGATTGATAAGATTATTTAGAAGCTTTACCCGGAACAAGCAGAATCCCAGTCTGGGACCTCTCAGGAATTTCAAAGTTTAGCATGGAGCCTGTAACAGTCCGGCTTGTAGGATTCCTCAGCCTTTAAATATAATAAACAGTGCAGGATTTGCTTCCTAAAGGATTCACAAAAAGGAGCCTGTACAAAATATACATACAGTTCTTTATTAAACAACTGTAAACACTTCACTGTAAAAATCCATAAAACTTTATAAACAAACATTTTGTAAATAGAATCTATACTACAGTAAAAGAACACAATTATTTACATGCAATACTGACAAATTTGGCACTTATTGAAAAGAAATGTACAAAACACTTGCTTAAAAAGAAATTGAAAATTATAAAAACTCCAAGCATTACTATCATGCACTTTGCCAATACCTCACAAGCACTTAGGGCACAGCTAGCAGAGAGCACCAGGCTCCCTGGTGGGGTTTATGTAACTTTTAATGTGCTTCCGTAAGTTTGTTGTAAAACCACCTGAACATTGTCAAGAATAAAGTCAAATGCCATGTTCCAAACCGATTCCACCGACTGCTGCATCAACCTAAAAGGTGGGTTAAGAAAAAAGAGCAGGTAAGACTGAATCCTCCCGAAACAATCAGTTGAACGTGTTGGTTAGGGTTTTAAACTATATACATCTCGAGGGGAACAATCTTTTGATCATGGTTTAGGGATTCGAAATGAAGCCCCCCCCCTTCCCTAAGTCCACCGTTAATGGCTTGCGCAGCGAGTAGAAGCTGCTCCGTGCCGCACCGCGAGTAGCCGTGAGATGCCCCATTTTATCCTTCTGATACAGGTATCAAATAATTACCTTTTCATGTATTTTATAACTAGGTCCAGTTTTTCCAAATCTTTTTCCTCTATTAGATCAGTACAGTATTTCACAACTTGCAGGATGTCTTCTTCCATTGGATCTAGAGAGGGGGAAAACCTCCAGTAAGGACCAACTTCCTTCTGAAGAAGGCAGACCGCTAGCTGCAGGTATAGAGGAGACGCGTGTTTCTCTAACTATCCCACTGACTTACAGCCACCAAACACGGGGTCTATAGTGTGGAGCTTTTCAGAGTCAGCCCCAGAGTTTCAAAGGTTAGAGGGTGGCTGGGTTTAGCCTACCAGATTTAGAGAAATGAGTTCCATCTCTACGGATGAGTCTGTCTGTTCTAAAATCCTAGAACCATTGCACTCAGTCCGCGGCTGTCTCGCCGGCCAAGCCAACCTGAAATGGTAGTTATCCATTCTTTGAGCAACGTCTTCACATCACTGAATTCAACAGCTCCTGCTAGGTTGGGTGCCGGGGGTCTTGTGCAGCCAGCCGGCCCAGGCTGCGACCCGGAAAGGCCTGGCACACCTGAAGTGGAAGCAGAGAGGTCTCCCTGTTAAAGAAAACAAACAATAAAAAGTGCTATGTTGACATAACAGCGAGTACGTTAAGATCTGATCAAAGAAAGGTCAAAGTTTAAAAAGTATGCAAAATATTACCAGAGCTTTCTCAGAAGCAGGACCTTCATGTTTTAGAAACCCATCGATTAACTTCTGGGGACTCCCGCAGGCCCCGGGCAGAGTTTTCACAGGACTGTGAAGCAACTTGTTTTTCACAGGACTCTGAATCTTTTTCGGGGGACTGGTGGGATTTTTTTTCTTGTTCCGTTTCTTTTCTTTCACTGCTGCTGGTTTTAGCTGACGTAACAGATTCTTTGGCACTAGAAGAATATGAACATGACATCTTCAGCAAAGTCTGTCTGGACAGTACCACAAGTTCTCTTTCCTCCTCAAAGACAACCCCAACGCGTGCGCGCACACATCCCGACACAGGCCCCCGAGCCAGACCGTGCGTGGGGAAGGCAGTACTTGGCTGCAGGCTCCAGGGTGCCCGCCCCCTGTGCTCACTTACCAAGATCTGTTCTATACAGGGGGGCCCATAAGGACCAACTGGAAATCAAACAGCTGAGGTACAACAGTTCAGGCAGTGTTGTAATGCATGTTCGGAGACCTTCAGATTTGTTTTAAACCTACACTCTTTGATGTATCCATCTTAAGTACTCAAAAGATTCTGGCAATAATTCAAACTTTTTCTGAAGTGAAGGTGTTTTCAAGTCAAGAAGCTACAGATACAAGTCCAGCTAGGACTGTGACAACACTTCCCCGCATCGTATACTTGTTCGGCTGCAATACAAAGAGCTCTTAGCATGACTAGCAGCTCAGACGCTGGCCGTTACGTACTCCGGGGTCACGCCCTACAGCGATCCCCTTTCTCTCGTCTTCAGTGGTGGTACAGGTCCCTTCCCTGGCTACTTACCTGACACAGCGGCCGACTGCTGGTGAGTGCAGTTCTCTCCCTGCCTTTGCCTCTGATCATATGCTGCCTTCAGCTCCTTCTGAAGCTCGGCAGGAAGGGCAGCAAACACCTCAGGGTCCACCTAGTGGAAACGAGAAGGGTCAAAGTCAAACCTGAGTTGATGCTGTTTTTCACAAAACAGATTTTGTTTTCAAATCATGCTTTCCTGATCTGTATGAATTCTTAATAGGTCCTCAATATTAAAGCTCACTGTATCCTCACAAGGTTTTAGGGTGAGAATAAGAAAATTTGGGGTTAAGAACTGACTTAAACAAAACCACTGCAGAACCATCAGGGCAAGCAGCACTCCTAGAAAATGAGAGGCAAAACACAAGAAATGAGGCTCATTTCCAATGTTTTTTTGAAACACCAAGCTTAGACTGTGTTCCGGTCTCTAATCCATGATTCTGCATCTCCACCCAGTTATTTGAAGTGTGGCCCAATGGTCATCCCTAGCCAAGAAAATAGAAACAGAATGAGTTTCTGTTTTACTTCTGGGTGGAGACTTCAAGCACCCACATACCATATCCTCCCTCTTCTCTGCCAGTCTGTGTCCTTTAGATGATGCAGACATGAGCCAATCCCTCCCCACCGGCCCCCCACCCCCACCCCCACCTCAGATACGGCGTGAGCTACTGAGAGTTTAGGGTCCAAAGGAAAAGAGGAAATGAGATCTGCCCTGAGCTAGAGTAGGACGGATGAGCATGTTCAGGGTAGAAGGTCTCTTACCTGTGAAAATGCTGGAAGGGCTATAACATTAATTCCTGTGTCACTGTTAGATTCTTGAGGTTCTGGTATTTGTAACAAAACCGTCCCAACTGGTTGTGGCAAAATTCCTGTATTACAGCCATTTACTGGCTCTTTCTTTCTGTCGCCATGCAGCTCTCCTTGCTGACCAGCACAAACCTGCTCTACTTGTTCCCGGAGATCAGGTGGAAGTGCTTCTAAAACAGACTGATCGAGCTGTAAAATACCACATGAGTCTGAAGTTAAAGCATGCCCAGGGAGGAGCTTAGTAGAGTTAATGTTACCACTTTCACTTCAACCTGAACAATAAACAAAAGGTGCAGAGAAGCAGGCTAGGAAAGCTAACCCTCCAAAACAGCACAGTTTTAGAAGGTTTTTGGCCTTTTGCCATTGAAGCCCGAGTAGTAAGACTACTAAGAGTCTGGAGAGACAAGTGCCCTGGCAGCACCGCTGGGTCAGGCGAGTCCAAACATACTCGCTCTATCTTCTGCGACTGCAGCCAAGAGATGGATCTCAGATCCCACCCAGGGGCCGGGGCCAGTGTCTATGGGATATGTCAAATTTCTGGCATCGGGTAAGAGAGTTCTGTTTACCTTTCACACAGTTGACCACCTGTCCCCAAATACAAATAATTCTGGTTCTGACAACACCAAGTTAGAAAAAAGGGATTCTAGAAACTAACTTTGCTCTAGCCTACATAGCAGATTCCTCTGTGCATCTGTGCACTTCCACTTAGAAACACGGAATCCCGTAAGCTGGGCAGGCCAATGGGATACTTTGCCAGGAACAACGGTTTCTGGATAGCTCACTAGCATCTGGGACCCAATGCAAGTGTATCACAACCGTCCCTTTCCGAGCCTTAAGGCCAGCATGTATGTTTCCTTCAGCCTCCTACCACGTAGTGGAGCA